GAGAGAGAGAGAGAGAGAGAGAGAGAGAGAGAGAGAGATCACTTTTATCAGTCCATTTTAATATTAGATTTTAGAATTAGATTCTTGAGATTAGATATTATTCCGAACATATTGGCTTATGTGACGTGTTGAATGTAGAAGTGCGAAAAATATTGATGCTTTTTTATTAATATATTTGATCAGTTCAAATTTTTCTGCTAATTTGTGAACACATTTTCAAAATTATTGAATTACACTACTCAACAAAATCTAGGGAACACTTTCAAACACGCTAAAAATTGAGCAATATTCAGAACACCATAATTCAATGAAAAATCATCGCAGACAAAAAATTAAAAAAGGATTTTAAAGGTTGAAATCTCTACTTTCGAAATCTATAATTGAAATTTTAATATGACTGATACTTTACGGAGTTATACGGACACAAATGGATATCCGTCAAATCTAAAAATTTTTTACAAACTTTACAAAGGTCTATGGCGTGAAGTAAAAATTACACGAAAATGCGGTTTGCAGCAGTCGAAAGAATGAATCTTTACCTTCAATTTTCTTTTTTATTGATGTACGATTTTTTTCCACCGAGTTATTGAACGTTAAAGTAGAAGTGATCACTTTTGCTTCATCGTTCAATAATTCGGTGAAAAAAAATCGTACAATGTTTAATAAAAAAACAAATTAAAGGTAAAGATTCACTCTTTCGACTGCTGTAAACCGCATTTTCGTGTAAATTTTACTTCACGCCATAGACCTTTGTAAAGTTTGTAAAAAATTTTTAGATTTGACGGATATCCATTTGTGTCCGTATAACTCCGTAAAGTATCAGTCATATTGAAATTTCAATTATAGATTTCGAAAGTAGAGATTTCAACCTTTAAAATCCTTTTTTAATTTTTTGTCTGCGATGATTTTTCATTGAATTATGGTGTTCTGAATATTGCTCAATTTTTAGCGTGTTTGAAAGTGTTCCCTAGATTTTGTTGAGTAGTGTATTTTTTAGCCAGATAAGATTAATTTCCAATCTGTATAGCAAAAACTGACGTATATAATAAACTTAAATAAACAATGTAACATGGTCGTAATCCCACGCGATCAATTATATATATTAGTCGAACCAAAGGCGACTAAAGGTTAATTTGATAGCAAAGTTGAGTTTGCTCGATGACGTTGACTCGAATATTTGTCTATTTGCAGAAAGAAGCGGTTGAGTGAAGTTTCAAAGAAGGAAGGGAAGGAGAGGTGAAAAAGGAGAAGAAAGATAAATAATACCGGCGAACCGACTTCTCTATTCTCTCTCTCTCTCTCTCTCTCTCTCTCTCTACGAACCGGCGACCCCGAGCTGTCAAAGTCCGTCAACCAGTGTTGCCCCCGGGTCATTTCATGTACAGCGCGAGGCATTATTTACTGTTTCACGCATACAATCGCGTCGTGAAGAGATTATAAGTTCCATCAGTCAACCAACAACACGTTGGTGAAACACTCTCGTGTGCAAGATGCATTATGTCGCACTCGTTAATACGAACAAACAACGATTTCAGCGAACGATCGATCTGATCGACGATATGATCACGGTGACATACACTGGTCATTACTCCTTCGTTATAATAGTATATCGGAAAACTTGACAAAAGGATTATTAAAAAATCACTTTTTTGTTAAAAAATACTCCATACTATATTGCAATATTTTGCAAGTTTTAGTATGAAGTATTTATCAGTGCAAGTAAATCTTATGGTTTGAAAATATATGACAAAAAAATAATGGAGGTTGCTTACATAAATTTTTAATTTTGATCCTGTATAGTTCAGTCTTTTTTATATCAATTTCAATTGATTTTCGTTGATTAATATAATTTTAATAGACAAATGAGGATAAGAGATATATGTGTGTTTGTGGAGTTTATTGCAATACGAATGCAATAGATCGTATGGAAATATATTATAATATTAATAATATTTAAATATATTAAAACACACACACACATATATATAATCAACTGCATGAATGCTTTAGCTTATTGAGGAATAACAAAAATATATATTACATGTAATTTAATGTTTTTTTTAAATATTTATTAACGAAAGATTGACAATATGGATTATATTATCATCAGAAATAATTTGGAGACACTGGTAGTGTCTCGGCGCTAAGCTACGCGCAGCGACACTGCCGTGCATCCTTATAGATTGTATCTTGAAGTTTTTCGTAGAATTCGAAGCTAAATTTTCGAAATAATTCGAAAATTACGCGATAAAATAGATTAAATAGATAAAATAGATAAACGATTCAGACAAACCTATATTGTTCGTCAATCTTTCCGATTAATCTATTTCGACGTGCTTGATCCCAAGGAACAAGTTCGAAAAGTTTCATCGAGATTAAAGAAAATAATAAATAATCGTTCGTTTTATTGTAAAGCACTGAGATACGTCTTAGCTGTGAGAATCATTAAATCTGATTTAACATAATATAAAAAAATCGAAACACTTTATAAACTTATCAATATAAATACCTCGTGTTTTTTCCATATAAAAGAGAGAAATGATATCAGAAGGGTTAAGTCACTTCCATCAATTACGCGCTGGTATTTACAAAACATGTACCAAGCAATCGTATATTTGTAAGCGAGTACGCTCTTACTCGGCAAGCAAAGGTAATGATATCGCCGGTGCCTATTGATCTGAGTATACGGTAGTTTGTAAATAATCCTATCAGCGATTGTACAAACATCTTTCGCTATTACATATTCGTGAACAATTTGTGATCGATCTTAATAATGATGGAAAATCGAAGATTAATCTTCTCTCTAGAATATATCGCTAGTTCACACATTGCATGGATGATAAGCCGTCATTTTTTTTTTAATATGAAATCTCGCAATGACCTCCTAGCGTCTAAGGCAAACGATTAGCAACGATTCGAGCAAATTGAATCAAAGAGAAGCCTCTCTGGCGATCGCGATTACGGTAAAATATACCAAAGAAGGTAAGATTAGATTTAACCGGCTTCTCATGGAATCGACTTCCTTTTCCTCCTTTTCTCGTTATTGTAGGAATCGTCGCTATGCCAGTCTGCAGGGAAAGATAGGAACATATTAATCACGCGCAACGCAAGTCTTTAGTACAATCAGTACTGATAGCGTGCAACTTGCCGAGAGCATGTGTTTTTTCATCAGTGATCTCCGATCGCGCTTCTCTCCCATACGTTCCTCCAATCGAGAGCAAATGGTAGAAGCTCGAGTGGCAACGCACCGCTGTATTTCTTTTTTTTCGCATTTTTCTTTTTTAAGCCCCGATTACAAGCCGAACTTGACCTTTGCACCTATTTTTAACTCGCTCACTTTCGTTAAAATCCGTGAACAAACCGGCGATTGCTGGTAGTGCGATAGTCTCACAAACGGTACGGTCCTCCATTCACTGCCTCTTAGACACGAGTCAGGGAAAACGCGCTTTTGCCATCCAAGCAGAACAACAAGTCACGATAATGTCAAAATGACGTTAAAATTAATCGTTACTGATTGAAAAGTAACTCTTAGTAATTGGAGCCATTTTGATGTCATGATGACTCGTGTTTGCGTGGACAAGTCCTTATTTTCTAATTTTCGAATTAACACACAACTATACCGTGTCTTTTTCCTCTTCTCTTCAGCAAAATAGTACTGCTACATAATAATACGTTACAATCGTTAATTAATAAGTAAATGAAATGAAATTATATACACGCATACATATACACTCTCTCTTTCACATTCTATGCGTGGAATCATAGCTGTTAGTCTCATATTCATTGATATGTTACAACGCGACGCAAGGTAATGTAACAAAAGAATACGTAGCTTATTGTCGATGATGAGACTTGACAGTGAGACACGCCGATCAGTCGCGTGTGAAATAGATACACTGTTTTCCAATAAATAATATCACACTCTACACAATTACTCACGAAAAAGAAATAAGTACGATCTTCGGGATTCGTCTGCGGATCTCCTCTTTGGCACATTCGTTTCTTTTCGGAGACGCGATCAACGTTGAGATTCAGATACACTTCAACTCTTGCATCACGAGTTAAGGATCAATTGTGAGTTCTTCACGATCCTCGCGATGTTTGAAGGGTAGCTGCATAGGATAATAGGCGAAACAGAAGAGATCTCAGTACAGATACAAGAAAAACTTCCGCTTTAAGGATGAATCCTATTGCACTACCGCCAGGGGTGGGTTATGCTGCGTCCTGATTACCTCTGCGACGCGCCTGAACGGCAATTGGAGGTGATAGTAGGCACAGTAGGGTAATGGATCCCAATACACGAAAAGGGATTCCCTCTTGTCCAGCACTGTGCCCAGAAGATGGGGCACGGTCTCGCTGGTTGATTGTTTGAGGGCACTCACCACGGTATCGGACAGCAGCTGTTGGCTCGACGTACCTACCAACGTTGAATTCTGCCTTGAGAAGTGTCGGCAGGGTTTCCACACCAGACGCGGATGTATCCCTGTGTGACAGATGTAGGGCAGGCTCACGCCTACCCGACAGCCGATGGACACCAGCTCACCCGTCTCCTCAGCCACTGCCAATCGGAAGCTCATGTGGCCGTTGATCCTGCCACCGAAGGAACGAGTGAAAAACTGTTCAAGCCACCTTATAATCTCGGAACGTTCCTCTGGTATAAGGCCCCGATCTTCATCCACTCGGCAGGTCACGTTCGTCACTATCCGTGACTCTTTCAGCGTGGTGCAAGTGATGAAGTGATCTCCACCGGGGTCGCGGATTACCACCCACGGTCGCCTCTCGCTGATCTCGTGTTGATTTCGGAACTCTCTGAAGGTGGATGGTAGCAAGATCTTTCCTGCCGTTGCGGAACATGTTTCGTTCATAGAGCGCGGACAGATCCTGCATTGATCGCAACAGAAAGTGCTGTGGGATCGTAAGACCGAGCATGCGACAGCGTCGAAGTAGCTCCAACGGGTCGTCCAGCGCGGTCACCTCGCTGGCATCGGGCACGAAACACTCGCAGCCCATGATCTCCAGATGCGGTTTCGCCAAGGCATCATAGTACGCGGTGCTGGTGGCACTCACCGGTATGTAGTAGGCCACTCGTTCGCACTGGACGATATCCCGTAACGCCTTTATATACTCGACAACGTTCCTGGGCCCAGGCCGCGGTATCGTGTAGTACTTGGAGCAGGCGATGGAAAATCTGGCTAGACCAAACAGGCCCTCGAGATCACACACTACCACCCGGGCGCCCGCCTTATAGAAGTTACGTGCAAGATGCACCGCCTGCACTGTGCTACCGCCGCTGATCAGTACGCACCGCTTGTTACGTGATCTCTCATACGCCGGGGTGTGCAGGACCGTGATGAACCATTTGAAAGCAATCAGTGGCAGTTGCAGAATCACCCAGAACAGGCAGATCCAAGCAGATGCCCAGAGAGCAGGAGCCCAGATCGCATAGCCAATGACATTGAAGATACTTCGAAATAGACTCAACAGAAGCCCGAAGTACCAAGACAAGATCCTCGAGAGAATGGAATCGTTGCTCCTCTCGACGTTCCGACTATCTGCCGCT